AGTGGCACGAAGACTCCTTACATCGGCATTTGGCTTCGAGGCTCTGGAGCTGATCACACCCCTGCGTTACAATCTCATGCAAAAGGGCCATTCAAGGCTGTCGGGAGCCTGTGCCGTCTCCGCTATACGAAGGGCCTTGGGCGCCTGCAGGCCACTCATGATATGGAATCATGGCAACTGCCAGCATCGACCCGTGTGCCAGGGCCCCCTTAGTGCCGCTCTGGATTTACCTCAGCTAAGTCCGATATTGCCGATTCAGGGATCCAACAGGTCCCCCAAAGCTCGTTCGGCTTTCGTAAGCTCCCCTGCAGGCCCTGCATCTTCCCCAACAGGCCAAACTACTTCTGCCATCTGGATGGTCGTCGAGCTCAGGGTGGAGCGATCTTCTTTGGCTATAGGCGCGGGGAACACCTCCATCGCATGCGATTTGACGGCACAAAGCAGCTACCTCACCAGGCAATAGTGACGACCATGGCCGTGGGGATGCGAGCCGAATTTCCCACAATTTATCCAGAATGTGCCGGCTCTTCTCGCCGTGGGAAGCGAGGTATATAATGGAAGCGTGTCCTCAAAATCTTGGAGATGGAAATCGAGTATTTCCGAACGCCCTGACACCTGTACAGATCGACCCCGGAGCCCATTAGTTCTTTCACGCGACCCCGAATCCGACGAGACAAACGCAAAGATGGGTGACGCTGGCATGCCTAGATCGCTCGCTGAGAGCTTGGAGAACACGAAGGTCACCTATACCCAACTGGGAGCTTCTGGCCTGAGAGTGTCGATCCCCATTCTGGGCGCCATGTCGTTTGGTAAGCCTGTCCTCTCCCCTATCTTGGGAGCACCATGGGAGGCTTGATCTGGCCCTCATGTTGTGGTTGGGCAGTATACGAAATCGCGAGCAGGGTGGACGTCGTGAGATCGAAGGACTACCCGGCGATTCGCAACCTACTCGGCATAAGATTTCATCCTATCACGACCGATCACTTTCCAATTTTCTATCACAAGCCAATGGGTATTGCTAACACCTTTGAAATACAGGCCACAAAGACTGGCAACCCTGGGTCATCGATGACGAAGCCGAAGTGGACAAACTCCTCAAGGGCGCGTACGACCGCGGGCTCAACACCTGGGACACGGCCAACGTCTACTCGAACGGGGAGTCGGAACGCATGATTGGCCGGGTGATCAAGAAACACAACATCCCCCGCCATAAGCTGGTGCTGCTCTCCAAGTGTTTCGGCACCGTTGGCGAGGAGCCGGGCGTGGTACACATCAAGTACCCGGAGCAGATTCGCCAGAGCAAGGACTACGTCAACCAGGGTGGGTTGTCGAGGGCCGCCATCTTCAACGCCGTGGAGGCGAGTCTGGAGAGGTTGGGCACGAGTTACCTTGATCTGTTGCAGATCCACCGGTTTGACAAGAGCGTTCCTGTTGAGGAGACTATGAAGGCTCTTCATGACCTTGTCCAGAGTGGAAAAGTCAGGTATATCGGTACGTGTGTCTTGCCGCGTCGCTGATCCTCTCTGATCTCGCTATGATGCCCTTGCTCTCCTCCACGCCTTGAGAGAGAGGCGTCTGAATGTCCTTGGGCTAACATGATGATCTCTCTTCGTGTCGCAGGTGCCAGCTCCATGTGGGCGTACCAGTTTGCCAAATTGCAGCAGGCCGCCGAGGCGCACAACTGGACCAAGTTCGTCTCCATGCAAAACCACTACTCGCTCTGCTACCGTGAAGAGGAGCGCGAAATGAACCCCTATTGTCACGAGACCGGCGTCGGCCTCATCCCCTGGGCCCCTCTTTACCGCGGTCTGCTGGCCCGTCCGCTCGGCAGCGACGCCACCACGCGCGAGGAGTCCATGAAGGGGAACCCGATGTTTGGGGGCCAGGACCCCGTGGACAGGGAGATCATCCAGCGCGTGCAGGACCTGGCGGCAAAGAAGGGCTGGAAGATGAGTCAAGTGGCGCTGGCGTGGATCATCCAGAAGAACACCATTCCCATCGTCGGGTTCAGTAATCTCGCGAGGTTGGAGGAGGCCGTCGCGGTCAGGGGCAAGACGCTCACTCCCGAAGAGATGAAGAGCCTGGAGGAGCCGTACAAGCCGAAGGCTATCGTGGGGCATTCGTAGGGGTGCATGAGATGTCGGTAGCTGAGGGTCTACAGACGCGGCATGGTTACTCCCCTGCTGTAGTATGCTCGCTACTGGAGTGATGGTAGGGAAACCAAGTAGGAGACTTCGAGGGCAAAGGGGCAGGTCATGGTGGCGGACCCAGACACAGACAGACAGATAGACACTACGGTGTGAATATGAATAAGACCTACAGTCCCGACATAGGATTCAAGGACGAACGAACGAACTATGCGGGGTGCTAAAGCCCACCACGCAATGCTACATTGGTATATATGCTGGCAGCTTCGTGTTAACTGCGGAGCAATAGAAATGCTAGGTGCCTCGTGAGCCCGTCCGTCAGTCTCTACGTGCTTGATACGATGTGATAAAGATGGTGTCTTCTGGAGTCATCCAGCATCTCACCATCAGCGTCCTACATAGCGATACAGCAGTATCAGCCGGACAACTTGCACCCATTACCAGCATGCTTCCAGGGCACGGCTGAAGGGAAGGGTGGCCGTGGTGGTTCTCAAACTACAGAGCACTCCGTACTCCGTACAGTGTCACGTGTAGCCTGATTAATTTCGCACTAGCACCATCTCAGTTAGACTAAACGCCCCCTTGAAGCGGCCTGAACCTGCTTCGAATTTCCCTGCGCCGCAAACTCGCCGGGCCCGCAGCATGTCGCGCCTTGCAATTCGGAGGTGAGTTTCCACCATCGGCGACGGTCGAGGACGACAATGCTGCCACGTCGGAACCATATATTTTCGTGACTTGGGACTGGTTGGTACAGCCATGCTGGCAGCAGAGCATATATATATTGGGCGAGAATGATGAAAATGCCCTCGTCGCGGAGGGGCCTGTACGAACGAACCGTCGAGCCCGTCTTGGCCACCCTCAATCGTCGCACCTCGATCCTCGTCGTTTCCGTCTTCTTCACATTGACGTTGGTCGCGTGGTACCGGTCGGCGTACGGCTCAACAGCGCCCCTGTTACACAGCGACTATGGCGCATACGGGCGGAAGAGGGGGTTCGACGGGACCTGGGATTACGAGCGGGACGCGGAGAATCTGATGCTGGATTCGCAACAATGCGACCAAGCCTTTCCCGGGCTGTTTGAAGAGGTGGACCGGCCGGTGAACGAGCGCATGCACACGCCCATCACGTCCGACGAGATTGACGCCATCCCCAAGCAGAACGGCTACGTGCGGGCCATGATCTACAACCAACAAGTATTATCTTGGACCAACCCCCCGGGAGGCGCCCGTTGTGTGCTGTTGTTTACTGACTGTCATAACAGTTATACATCATCGACAAGGCCGGAGGGATCTACTCGCGGGAGATCGCCACCCTGCACGCCTTGCACCGCGCGATCCTCACGTCCCCCGAACCACTCCCGAACATCGAGTTCGCGTTCAACACCGACGACCGCATCCCCTCGGTGCCCTTGTGGGGCTACGCGCGCCGCACCGAAGACACGCACATCTGGCTGATCCCGGACTTTGGATACTGGTCGTGGCCCGAGACCAAGGTCGGCTCCATGCGCGAAGTGCAGATGAAGGCGGCCCTGACCGAGGCGTACGACGGGTGGACGTGGGCCAAGAAGGTGCGCAAGATCCTGTGGCGCGGCGCGACCATGGGCCTACCCCTGCGCGAAAAGTTCATCCAGGTCACGGCGGACCAGCCGTGGGCGGACGTCAAGGCCCTGGACTGGCACAACAAGGAGTCGATGGCCAACGACCTGAAATCCATGGCCCAGCACTGCCAGTACAAGTACCTCGCCCACACCGAGGGGAACTCGTACTCGGGCCGTCTGAAGTACCTGCAGGCCTGCCGGTCCGTGGTCGTCGCCCACACCATGGACTGGATCCAGCATCACCACCCGCTGATGCGCGCCAGCGGGCCCCAGCAGAATTATCTCGAGGTCGACCGCAGCTTTGACGATCTCGCTCAGAAGATCGCCTGGTTGGAGGCGCATGATCAGGAGGCCGAGCGCATTGCCGCGAACAGCGTCAAGACGTTCCGCGAGCAGTATCTCACGCCTGCGGCCGAGGTGTGTTATTGGAGGAGAGTCATCCACGGGTGGGCCAAAGTCAGCTTTGAGCCCGAGTTTTTCAAGGTCGTCAATGGGTCCCGTGTCTGGAGGGGCTTGCCTGTTGAGTCGTATTTGTTGGAAAGGAGGTTGGAGTGGAATCCTTATTGAGGGCGTCTTGCGTGGCACTGTTTATCATTGATGGGAGACGCTGTGTTTGGATATCACCATCGATGATGTGAGACGCTGTGTTTGGGCATCTGCATCAGGGCTACTCGAATGTACAAAGGAGAGCAAGGCAAGGCGTTGGCATCGTTTGGAGACCGGGACTGGACCACGTACACACATACATCTTTGATGCGACCTATCTCATCTAGCGGCCATCATGTATCTATTGAGCTTTTCAGGCCGAGATCGAACACGTACTGCATGTACTGTCCTGTACAAGTCTTCTTATCGAATCATGTCTGTGGACGAAGAGGTTGCAATAGAACAGAGGCACGAGTGGGAGAACAGTGGCATGTACTTCTTCACAGCGCTATATTCTCTACTCGTACGATGTACTGTCCTAATTCCGGCTTTCCTCAATTTCGTCCCTCCATCATATTGTGCTCCTTCGTTGACGTGGCTGATAGCATTCTACCTGTATTCTGTACTCTGACCCCCGTACTGTAGGGCTGAATGACGAGGCCGGCTTAGCGAGGCTCATATCAGCCTCCCACTCGGAAGCATTGAGGCCACCTCACAAGATCACCACCCTCCGGTCGCATCCTCCGTGTACTGTGTGCTGTGCACAGTACACAGTAACAACTGTCATCCTCACTCTAGTCGCTCATTGACAATCCCGTCCTCTCAGCCCAATGGCGCGTCGCAAGCAGATCACGCCCATGCAGCGCATCAACTCGGGCGAAGTCATGCAGACGCCCTCAGACACGCCCGAACGTCGCGCAGTGTACAGCAACGGCCACATCGCCTCTCCGGCTCCCACACGCCCTCTACGCCCTCCGACACAAGCACGGGCGCAAGAACCTTCGGCGCAGCAGCCGGGCCTGCTCACCCTCCTCGTCTGCGTCGGCGGCATCTACGCGTCGTTTCTGACCTGGGGCGTGCTGCAAGAACGCATCACCACCACGCCGTACCCTGTGACCACGACGACTACCGCGGCGCAGGCGCAACATGAATACTTTCGCTTTCCGATCGTGCTGAACACGATCCAGTCGTCATTCGCTTTCACGAGCGGGAGTCTCTACCTCCTCTACAAGACGGGCGCAACATCAACATCGTTCCAGATCCTCCCTTCGCCGGCAGCGCTCCTGCCCCTCCTCCTCGTCACATTGACGACCACGCTGGCCTCGCCGTTCGGCTACGCCAGCCTCGCACACGTCGACTACCTGACCTTCGTGCTGGCCAAGTCGTGCAAGCTCCTCCCCGTGATGGCGCTGCACGTCACGCTGTTCCGCAAACGATACCCACTGTCGAAATACATGATCGTGCTGGCCGTGACCGCGGGAGTCGCCCTCTTCACACTCTACCACCCGCCCAAGAAGGCCGGCAAGGCGGAGGCGAAGGGGCAGTCAGCAAGCAGCCTCTACGGCCTGCTCCTCCTGGGCATCAACCTCCTGTTCGACGGCCTGACGAACACGGTGCAGGACCACATTTTCCAGTCGCCCGCCCGGTACGGCCGCATGACGGGGCCACAGATGATGGTCGTGCTCAACCTGCTCGGCACGGTGCTCATGGCCGCGTACCTCGCTCTGACGCCGTATGTCCCGCCCACGCTCCTCCCGCGCTTCCTGCAGACCGACGCGGCCGAGCTGGGCCAGGCGGTCGCGTTCCTGCGCCGCCACCCGCCCGTGCTCAAGGACGTGCTTGCCTTTTGCGCGTGCGGGGCCATCGGCCAGCTGTTCATCTACGCCACGCTCGAGCGCTTCTCCAGCCTGCTTCTCGTGACCGTCACCGTCACGCGGAAGATGCTGACCATGGTGCTGAGCGTGCTGTGGTTCGGGCATCGACTGGGCCGCGGCCAGTGGGTGGGCGTGGGCCTGGTGTTTGGTGGCATTGCCGCCGAGGCGTACGTGCAGAACGCCGAGAAGAAGGCCAAGGAGAAGAGGAGGAAATCCCTGGAGAAGGATGGATAGGAGATAGATGGACTAGATACTAGTAGTTAGAGGAAATCATCTCAGAACAATGTTTGAAAATCCTCATATTCTACACATCGTCTTGTTCATCCTTCATTCTCTGATCTGTGACTAGATGGTTAGAGAAGTCTTTTTCAACCAAGTTTGAAAATCCTCATATTCTACAGATTGTCTTGTTCATTCCTTCATTCTCTGGTCTGTGTTCTGTTTATGTGCCTGGTTGTATGGAGTAGTTGTTGAAGAATCCACTGCTAAGAACCCGGCAGTGGCAAGGCACATTCTTCTGCATTCAGTGCGTAGTTACTTATACGCGTGCTGGACGAGAGGACTAGCAGAGAGGAACCGGGGGATTGCAGAGCACGGTTCTGCGCCCGTCCTGAGTACTCTGTACGGGAGTATACATTCTACCGTACTACTGTACTGTGCGTGGGTGGGTGCTCTTTACATGCCGTAACTGTGTGCATGCATCGCATGCCGACCTGTTTCCTTATGTACCTATGTACGGAGGACCTAGGTACCTCCCTACGTACATAATTGAGGCCGACCCTCCCTATTCCAACGCCCTGCAAAATGCAAATGCGAGACATTTACAGTACTCCCTACGTAGTCCTGTATTCGCCCCATGGGCCGTGATGTATCATGATTGCAGTGTACTGCCTTTGTTCCTCACCCTCCCGCCCTCTGTCAATCTGCCGTTACAGCGGCGGCCGCGCTCTCAGCCTCGTTACCCGCCGTGCCACTGCTCGAATTGGACAGAGCTAATTTCTCGATTACCGCCGCCTGGCCTATTGAGCCCTCTTTGCCACCCCCCCTCGAGACTTCATTCTTGTTGGCCCACCTGATGCCCACCTCGACGGGGACCTTCTTCAACCACTCCAGCCGCACACTCTCGTCGCCGTCTCTGTGCGCGCGGACCATCCGGCTGACGGCGTCGAGGTCCGCCAAAGCCAACTGCACCGCCGGGACATGGACGCCCAGCTCTTCGACGCCGACGCTCATTGCCGCGGTATATTGCATCAGGGCGGTTTCCAGGTTTCCGCGCATGACGTGCAGGCGGCCGAGGGTGCGCAGACAGCCGATCCGTGAGTGGATTAGACCTGCGGCTTTGGCGTCCACCACCTCATACGCCGGGGATGCCGTTGGGTCGTTGCTTACGCTTGCTTTCTCGAGTGTCAGCGTGCGGCGGAGGGCTTCGGACAGGAGGGCCTCGGTGTCGGCCGAGGCGTCGTTCAACGAGAGGTGCGCTCGTGTCAGTTCGAGCAGGCCCGTGATGGGCATGATGTGGTTGACGCCGTATATCTCCTCCCACAGGGCGACGACCTCGGCCAGGATGTCGCGCGCTTTTTCTAATTGGCCGACCTGCCCGAGCACGCGGCCAAGGTAGTAATACTGCCCGGTGGTTTGGTACGAGTTGGGCTCGAAGAGGGTTTCGTGCAGCTCGTGGATCTTGCGCTGGATCAGTTCGCGGAGGTACACACGCTGCGCGTCAGCCGTGGCCGGGAAAGTCAGGTGTAGAAGCTTCGTGATCGGGTGGGAGGGCCCGAGAGTTGTGAGGGATGTCGATGCCGCCACTCGTTTCACCTGGCTCCGGAGACGGCCCAGCGGGGAGTCAGAGCTGGCGCTGAGGCTGAGGTCGGCCAACAGCCAGCAGAGTTGGGGGTGTTGCGATGTCAGCAACTCGGGGAGCTTGGGCAAAGCGCTGTCGAGGATTGAAGATGCCGAGTCCACGTGTCCCAATGCCAGGAGCCCGCCGGCTGTAGTGATGGATCCGGCGAAGCTTTCCATCCCGGAGATCTTGTCGAAGTAGGTGTTGCTTCTCTCACGCAGTTGGGCTGACCATGATGACTCGAATTGGCCCCAGAAGAAGGCGCTTGTTTGGAGGAGGGTCTGCTCGATCTGTGAGTCCTCCTTCGACAATGACATGAGCCGGGGAGGAGATGTCATACCGAGCCGCCATGAGACGTGCGAGCTGGAGGCCGCGCTACTCGTGGCTTTGCGTCTTTTGGAGACGTTGGCCTGCACGGCGAAAGTTGTCGGAGGTGGTGGCGACGACTTCCACGGATGTCGCGGCGAGTGGGATCGGGCTTCGCTCAAGGCTTGCTTGAGTTCTGTCCGAGCTGTGCGGCCGCCGAAGTAGTCTTGCCCGTCGTCCTCGGTGTCCTGTCCGGGGGTCGAGGCAAGGGCCTGTAGCCTATGTTGTTCTTCCTCCTCATCTGAGTGGTTGACCAAATCCCAGATGGCAAGCTTTCGTGTTGGAGCTACCTCTTCGCCGATTGAAGCTGAAACATCCGTCGAAGGCGAATCCGGATGGGTAGAATGAGGAATAACGACTTGATCACGGATAACCGATGACGGAGCCGGTGCATATTCTGCCGCAGCAGAAGGATAGTTCACATCAAAACTGATCGGCTGCTCTGCATGAGCACTCAAAGGCTGTCCGTCCGTATCATCAGTCCTTGGTGAAGGGTAAATCGCTCTAGACGGTTTCGCAGAGCTTCTTTGACCGGGTCTAGGAGACGAGCTCGACTGAGCTCTAGCGCCAATCTCAGCTTTCACCCCGGAATTTTGCCCCGCATGTCGCCGGATCTGTGTGATATTTTTCCTGCTCCGTGGGTTGCCGGTTATCCAGGTGAAGGACTTTGGTGTTGCCCCGTCCTCCCTGGGAGGCATTTGTCGCTAACACCTCGTGGACGATAGGCACACGCATCCGATCCGTCTTTGGGCTTCCCTGAGAAGCGGATCTGGCAGAAGGGAAAGTGGGAGAGAAGTCAGACTCGCTTCCACAGCAAGGCTCTGAGCAGGAAGCGCGCTTTTTGTGGAGGTGGTCGGCCCGATGTCAAAAGGTTTTCTTCGCCGTAGAGCCGGAAAAGGAAAACAAGGTGGGCTCGAAAACCATGCTCAGAGTGGCTGCATCGGAGACATTTCAACGCAAAGACTTCCACGTTGACATCGGATCAGGAAGGTCGAGAGAAACAAGCCTAGTGTCGAGCTCATAAGCCGGTAGGGTGGTGAGCGGCCGGATTGAGCATGGACTCGGATCACTGCTGAATAATTTGTTAGTAACGTGCCTGCTCTCCCCTTCGCCAGGTCCCAGCCTGTCCTTCGTACTGTCGTGCCTCGGCCTCATAGCATCCTTTACGTACAAAGGTGATATCGCGTCTCATCTTGACCACCTGGAAAGGCCCCGGAAGGCGTGGGTTTGCGTCCCCTGTTAGTTTTCGTGGATCAGGCCACTGGGCTCAGGGACGTGGTTAGCATAAGCTTCCCTTTTTCGGAAGCAGGAGGACGTCTGACGAGGCTGCGGGTCTCGACTCGGGGCGCTGGAAACGACCAGCCCAGTCCCAGTCGGAGGACTTTGGAGCACCTACCACAAGGGTCAAGCCCCCTGCAAGCGAAGGATCCTGGCTAGTGGCAAGGTGGAGTCGACATCTCCACTCTCACGATAGAGCACCTGCCTGTTTGGACAGCAGGCTATGCCCCATAATACTGGTTGTGTCCTCTGTACGAGTACGTGACCTCGGGAATTCCGCATTCGTCAGAAGCGCCAGGATTGAGGTTTTACTCAGTAGAGCTCCTTCTGGAAGCAGAGGCAGGGACCAGGACGGGAACAACAACAGGCCTGTTAAGATATTACCTTGCCACGTGGGACAACTTATACCCGTGCACTTCTTCTGCGAATTCTTCTCCCTTCAGACTAGTGACCACGAATTGTAGTCATGGACGAGGCTTCGGGATAGGCAATAGGCGTGTCGACGCCGAGTCACCTCTAGGCTGCACGGTCATGCGTCTGGCAAGGCCGTCGTTGCGTCGGCGCTCAAACTCCGTTTGCAAAGACCGGCGCTCATCCGCCTCGTCGACAACATTGCGCCTTGCGGAGACAGAAGTGTTCATGCTATGTCTCGTAAAAGTACCTCCATCCTTCGCCTCTGGCACTCCCTCACAGAAAGGCGACCGCTGGCTAATTGGATGTACTGTGTGCAGTAGCCTTGACTGTTCCTTGGACAGCTTGGTAATCTGGCGGTAAAATTGCGGCGAGCATGATGGCTCAGCCGCTCCAAGAAGCCGTAAGACGGCTTTCGCAAAAACGATCTGTGCGTCGCATGCCTTCTAACCATGACAAAGAGTGGACAGAGAGTGGGGTCTAGTTGGCCGAAAGTATACTGTGCACTTGGGACGGACAACTGCGTGCAGCGTCGAGCTTTGGCCGGCCGGCAACAAACTCGCCTAATGCAGCAGCCGTCCACGTCGCCAAGAGGACGATCACGCAAAGGTTACTCCGTAGGCCGTACGAGGTATTTGTATGCAGCGGAAGCAGACGCCGAGGGCTCCTCGGTAGCAACTAGTCACAGAAGATGCAGCGTGCCACGCTGAGCTTAGGTCATGTTTGGGGTCTGCATATGCCGTCGCCTGCAGCCGACACGCCAGAATCGAAACTGATTCTGAGAAAAAGCTCGCACCAACTGGAAGCGGAAAGTGATTCGGCAGCAAGCCCGCTGACGCTTCATCGATGGGCATGCCGGAATCCGAGCTTGTCTCCGAGTGCCGTTCGGAACAGCCGCCGCAGTCTGTGCTTAGCAGAGGCTCTAGAGGGTTGCAGGGTGCGCATGGCTTGGTATGAATGACTCTGGACTGCTCATGAAAATATGTGCTTATTGAATCATGTAGGACGAGGACAACAACATGTAATCGAGACTGTATCCGCAGTCACAAGGAACTGTGGATGAATTAAAAAATATTGCTACTGTTGTACCAACTCAAGACTCAGTTCTGGGTGAATGACTGGTGAGGCGAGACTGAAGCCCAGATCAATCGCTCAGATGGGGAAAGTTAGCCGATGCGATGGACATCAACCATATCCACCACGATGGCTTCCCTCTCTTGCCATGCACGTTACTAAGATTCTGTGAGGGATCCTGTCTCCTTGAGCAGCCTCGGGACCTTACTCTGTGTCTCTTCACCGGATGCTGTCAGGGCGCAACGATGCCGGGCAGTCATGGACCGGTTCCCACAAGATTACGTCGGCCATAACCTGCCACTGTTGCTTCTTTCCGGACTGAACACGAGAAGCCCGAACGAGCCAGACGCGTCAGGAAATACACATGAATTCTTGCATGAAGGTGGATTCAGAATCAAGGTCGACGCTCCCGTGGTTGGCGGGTCTCTCGCAGAACAAGTTCTCCAATCCTTCTGCGACCAGGATGCCTCGGAGGTTCCCTGGCACTCCGGAGCTTTTGCATTGCGGAACGCCAAAGTCTTCAAGATTGCGACTGTAGGACGGGTAGGTCAGCGCACCCTCGAGCTTCTTGCCTGGCTAGAGACCGGAGCGCTGACAAAAGGTGCAGGTCTTCACGCTTCCGCCTCGCAAAGCACCGCCTCCTCCCCATTCCCCTCGCTTGTCGGCCGTTAATGCAAACGGAAGTCCACCGGCCCCGTTGGTACTACACTCTCCTCTGTCACCGTTGACGCCTAGCTCACCATTATACCCCGATGGCATCGTATCGCCTCTGTGGATCACCAAACATCAGACACGACTGCCCTGCGCTTTTCTGAGCTTCTTCTCACTCGGGTCGGACCCGAACACAAGTTCTCTTCAGGACAACAGGTTGAAGTCAGAGATCAACAACGTGCGGAATGTGTTGTCTTCGACAAATTACAAGACCAGGCATGTCGTGGTGCTATTGGGAGACGGCAATATCAGCATCCCCGACCTTGAGGATCGTCTCGCCACCATCCGACGTGCAACCGCCCTCGACTCCAGAAGCCTCTACTTTCTTGCCCATAATTCTTCGCCCGCCCAGGTTGTGGCGTTTGTGAATAACGTTCTTTCAGCACTCCATCCACTATGTATAGAATACTACCGCGATCTGTCCAAGCACACCCGGCGCAAGCGCAATCGAAGCGCCATTCCTCTGCCCACAGTCCAGCCAGGGACCTCCAACATCTTGTCTTTACAAGGTTGGAATGTTCGATATGAATTCAAGCTTGGTGTATTTGCTGAGTTCCGGCAAGAAATGGATGCCGCTTGTCGAAATTACGAGACTGCGTATGATAGTTTGTTCGCTCCTGAGATTATAGATGGCATTGCCGCATGGAGCCCGCGCTTCAATGAAGCCAGGTTGTTAGCCGACGTCATAGCCTTTCGCACCATCCGTTGTTTGTTGTGGACAGACCAGGGTACGACAGCGGTCAGATCTTGGATCACTCACCGTGATCGGACGGCTGATTTGGTCAATCGGAGAGGTAAGGGAACAGCCAACTACGGATGGGAGGCGTGGCAAACTGCCTGGGCGAAGATCATGGCGGATCTCCTATCCCGGTCAGAATATCCTCTTTTGAATCTGAAGCTTCCAAATACGTCTGGATTGCTTCCGATCTACGTCAGTGCAGAGAGGTCGCCTCCCATGGGCGAGAGGTTGACTCCATGGGAACAGTTGCATCACCAGGGATATTGGCTGGATAGCGCAAAGAACTCCATTCTTGCTCGTCGAAAGTGGGCATTACAAATTCCCGAGGAAGATCGCCAGCCACCAGGTCGCTCCCCCGCTTCCATTGTTGCTAGCAAGGCCCAGCTTTACGACACATACCTTGCTCTTGAGCCATATCGGGAGGTGCCAGGCGATGGGAGTCCCGGGCACGATTATGCCCAAGAAATTGCAACAACACTGGAAGACGCTATTACTTGTTTTCGCCATCGGGGCCAACTTCGCAAGATTGATATACTCAAACTCCAAATCGCCTTCCAGCAGATTGAAACCCAGTCATGGGCAGCAGCCACATCCACTTTGCAAGAGCTGTGGTTCAGCCAGCACTGGAGACAGGCAGGATGGTGGAAGCTCCTACAAGGCCTTGGCTGGGCGCTTCTTGATACCCTCGCTCGCGTCGAGAACGGTGAGTTGTTAGTCCGACTGCTTTGGGAATTGACGAATGAGGTTTTTGATCGAAAGCCGAACACAAACTATGATCTGCGGCAAGCACTGGCGTCTTACAGCCTGGGAAATGGCAGCCTGTCTATTGCGGTAGATGTTGACGAAGCTCTGTCGCCGTTGACAGCCACATTCGCTTTCTCAACCCACGATGTATTCGTTGGGGAGTCACTGGAATGCCAGTTGGCTATTCAGTCTCGGGCGCAGATTGGCCTTCCTGCAATCCGCCTCTCTGAGGTCAAAGTCGTATTTGATGGCAGTTTGAAACCCATCTACCTAACCGCCAAAGATGGCGAGGACGCTGAGGTTCACAACGGCGCCTCCACTACTCACTTCGTGGATGTCAACTTGCACGAAACTCCATCAACGTCGTTGTCTGGGACTAAAAGGTCGTCTACTACTGCAATCGCTCCCCAAGCAGGCAATGCTAATCTATCCATTCGGTCGAGCCATACAAAGATCTTCAGAATGCGTGTCACTCCACGAGAGCCAGGAGACGTATCCGTTGCTTCCATCACACTGATACTCAACGATCAGAAATTCACTCTTGCTGCCACGTGCTTCGACTTCTCCCACACTGTTGCGCAATGGTGGGAGACAAAAGAGGGTATGCCGGTTCCTCGAACTTTAGGACGCGAGTCGAATGCGTTCAATACGATTCACATACAACCGAAACCACCCAAACTGAAGCTGGAAGCTCCTGGTTTGAGAAGGTCCTACTACACTAATGAGTCCATTACAATTGACTTTGACATCACCAATGAAGAGGCTGACGATGTGTTGGTTGTGCTCGAGGCGCGCCTGATCAGCCCCATTGAAGGAGCGACACAGGTCGACTGGGCCGGAAATGGGGCAGATACTGCTTCAGCAACACGTTCAGCACCGGGAATCATGACATTGCCAGCTCGCGAAATGGGCACAATCTTGTCATCCGACAAAGCATCCGCTTCCATACGTATCACGGGCACCACCATCGCAGTTGATCACGAGCTTGAACTTACGGCCACTTACCGTCTGGTTTCCGAGCAGGAAACAACTCTCGCGAAGATGATCACGGTTGACGTTGGAGTGATCCGTCCTTTTGAAGCCAACTACGACTTCGCTCCGCGTTTAGACACGGATCCCTGGCCAAATTTCTTCGATGCGCCCCAACCAAGCTCGGAGACGGCCACCCCGTCGGGGCTGAGACATCTGTACTCAGTAGCAGCTAGCCTCTATTCCTTTGCGGCAGAAGGCCTCGTGATTGAAGCAATCCTCCTGAAAGCCATCAAAATTGTGGGAGGGGCAGTCTGTTCGTCGGGTACTGGTATAATTCGATCAAAGGCAGAATCAGGCACTGCAGCCGCAGCCGCAGAACAAACCGGCAAGGAGAACATCTCGACGGTGATCATGCCTGACCAGACTGAAATATTCGACTTTGACCTCACTCTACAGAAACTGGTCCTTGGAGATCGACATACCGTGGCCGTCGATTTGGAACTGGAGATCGGTTGGCGTAGAAATGATTCGGGTGAAGTCAATACCACTGTGCTCGAAGCAGCCCGTCTTGTCGCACCAATGGCTGAACCCAGGGTTATACTGACTGCTTCGGCACCTGGATTGGGAGTGCCCGGCGCGGGAGTGTACAAGTTGTCCTTCACCATTGAGAATTCGAGCATGCATTTCCTTACCTTCAATGCATCCATGGAGGCAAACGAAGACTTCGCCTTTAGTGGCCCAAAAGCGTGCGCAATAAACTTGGTTCCCCTCAGCAAGCAGACCATGACCTACCGAATTTTACCAAACAAGAGGGACGAATGGATTGGTGTGCGTCTGAATGTGGTAGATGCGTACTTTGGACAGACACTAAAAGTATTACCCGGCGGGAAAGATGTCAAAGTCGATAAGCAAGGCAATCTGCTGGTTAAAGTCTGAATGAGCTATCATATGGCCGCTCGGATTATGATGGGAAGCTGCAAGATGACGCTTTCAGTTGACATACATCAGGCAATTCATGCGGCAAAGACCTTGTGCGGAAGCAGCTCGAGAATGATTGCCACCCCGGTCGACTTGCTACAGCTCACGAAGCACCTCAAGGAACTAGTGGTCGATAACTGGATAGTTGGCAAGAATCACCTGTTGAAGCACATCTTGCACCATTCCTTGAAGAGTAACTAAGGACCAGGGCTTCACTACGGGAGGATCGGCAACAATTGCATGAGCGGTACAATGAGAAATTGCCGATCCGCGGCCTGCTATCTTGCTTCTGTATCAGCTCAACATTACCGCTGACCTGGGTCACGGGAAAGAAAAGTGCGCTCACAAAGTCGTCGCGAAAGAGCTGTAGGTACAGCCTTCAGCCAGTGTCTTGAAATCGATCGGTGGAGGTCAGTGCACCAGAGTGCCCCAGGAATGATACATGAGCTACGAGCTACGAGCTACGTATCGAGACTGCGTGGAGGTCTAGCGTGCACCGCCGGCACGCTTGCCCGTCCACCTCCACCTCAGTGCACCTCCCTGGCGACCTGGGGGATCCTGCTTACGTACTAGTCGAGCTTTCTAACAGGAGGCCTTGCGGGATTTGCATCCCCTAGCCCAGTCGTGCGGACTGTGTACTGGGGTACAACAGAACAGGTATGAACTGAGTACCACGACACTTTCTACAACATGCCATAGAGGACTCTCGATCTCATCTGTATTGCATCCACGTCCGGGAGAGATTTCCTTTCCGACGTTGGCTGTCCTGGTGGCCACTCTGCAGAATTGGACCAGTGCAGCATTGATCCGGCTAGATGCGCTGGCCGGGCCGCAGTCGATCTGCTCTTCGGATAGGCGATATGGAGAGCTCAAGCGGCGTCTTCCCGGCGCTTAATGGCCCCATTCATTAATGAATAGCCAAATAACTGAATACACTGCAGCCACAAACCCGGTTTCGGCATTTCAGCCTTACTCCAGACATGTGGTGCAACCCCATCCTGCTCCGGCTTGTCCAATCCGTATCAGCCCTGCAAGCACAGGATGACGCCAAATACTGGGTACCCATGCTGCCGTCCATGATGAAGGGCTCTGCAGTGGTCTGGCCGGGACACTATCCCCAACACTGCAGGCGCTACACTATCAAAAGACAACTCATGCAGGAATCATACGTTCCAAGTTACCGACATGTGTGATAGTAGCTCTCAATCCAAGTTGTGAGCCAAGACCGCTCAAACAAGCAGATCATACGAGCACGAGACCGCAATGAGGCTCTCCATATAGCTATCGATCATCCTGCCGCCCTTGGAGGGCGAGATATCCTGCTGGGACCGTTTTTGTCTGTAAGTATCCCGGCCCAGTTCGACCTCCGATTAGCAGGCTTGACGCTTCAGCACCGGCACGCTATGGAAACCACGGGCTTCTTGAACAGAGGGGAGAGGTACCATCACTGGCCTCCGGTATCCCGGAACGGTATGCAGGACTGACCTTAACGCAGGAAAACAACTGATCCAGGCTCAGCAACAAAAGTGACCAGTGGTGACAATACTGCGACCCGAAGACACAAGATCTCATTCACGGCCATATTGTCGTTCGTGGCGATTATCGCCCTGTCTGTCCTGACCGCGATTGTCTTGCACGTCTCCAACGGTGATGATATCGCATCATGGCCCGTGCAACCGTCTGTGTATCTGTCTCTGATAGCTGCTGGCCTCGGTCCCGCGGTCGCTTACATATATGGGCAAGGTGTTCAGGTCGACTTTTGGCTGTTCTGTATCAGAGGTGGATCGCTGTCCCAGATCGATGACCGGTGGCAGGCGGGCGGAGACATCGTCGCAGCCTCGCTGCTCTCCTTGCGACACCGGCGGATCAGCCGCATAGCTCTGGCATGTGTAGCTGTGACAGCCATGGCTGTTCAGGGAACCTTCCTGCAAAATGCCAGCCGGGCAGTCCCAACACAACGCCGACAAACAGCCGTGAGTCACTTGAATATCGCGCCCGAACTTCCCAGCGAGTTCACCAGCACCTTTACCGGACGTGTCACCGATTCCGCCGTCCTGAACCCTACGTTTGCATCCGTCCTGCAGCAATTCCAGGCACGGTCCACCATGACCGTCAACTCGACCTGTGCTGGCTCCTGCTCCGGAACAGTTGCTGCAGCAGGTCTGGCCGCCACCTGTTCGACATCCCCATACAACTGGACGTTCGCCAACGATTTCTACGATATATACCCACCAGTACAATTCAACGCATTCAATATCTCGTTTGGACTGTCGCACGACACTGTCCCTGACGGCAACGGCGATCCCCTCTATGTGCCTAACACTTATTATCAGGTATGGCGGAACAGTCGGCTGACCGTGGATTTCTACGTCAAAGATGGCCGACCAGCCACAATGGATGAAGGCAATTCGGTCACGGTAGGATTCCATCGACGATGTGTTCTTCGACCAGCCACCATCTCATACCCCGTTCTCATCAGCAACTCCACGATCAAGTTGCAAGGACAGATGCTCGAGGATGAAGCCTTGGAACTCCTCGATGTTTATGAGCGAGGGAGCTATGGGTCTGGTTCGGGCACCACTTGGCTTGGCTATGCATCAACCGTGGCAGAGCTTTACGCAACATATGTCAACGTCAGCTATGCCGGTGCCGCCGGCTACACCTACACCCGGTCCGGCCTCTTTGGCACTGCCTATCTGGAAACCCTCGGAGATGTAGCTATTCCTGGTGCAATGATTGACGTCGCCTTTCGTGATCCAACCAAAGACGTCCTCGAGGGGATGCGGGAACTGACATTCCGCATGGCCCTCTCGGCAGCCCGAGACCCTGGCTCCGGAAGATGGCTGGGCAAGCACAAACCGCCCGGGACCGATACGAACACCAGCAGTCCGAATTATGGAGATTACAACGCGAGTGTTGCAAGTGCCCTGCCCTTCAATATCTCCAGTCCGACCGTCGAAACGCGCAATCTCACGGTCTACCGGACCGATTGGGTCTATGGGAGCCTCGGCATTGCCTGGACGTTTGGGATGCTCGTCCTCATCGCGCCCACTTTCTACGGCTTCTGGCTGCTTGAAAGGCGTGTCTCTCTCAGTCCCTTGGAGACAGCCAAGGCGTTCCGCTCGCCGCTGTTGGACGACGTAGATCCACGGGCTGATCTGAATATGATCCGTGCGCAAGCCGGTGACATTCGAGTAAGATATGAGGAGTCAAGAATGGAGGTGGTTGGATAAGCTTCACGCGTGGCACGGTTGGCCCATCCTCGTCGCGATAATCCAGCTCCGTAATCTATACGGAGTACCCGCCTGCTGATCCGGTCCGCAATGTTGGACCAAGGATCGTCCATGGCGTAATGATCCCGTGTCGTCTACGAGTACGAAGCATACACAGGGTACAAAGGTGGTGAATGATCCACGGCTGCCGCACATCAGCAAAAATGGGAGAAAGGCTTACCAAATGTAAGAACGCACCCCATCCCGATTCGTCAGGTATATAGTCCAGATTGGGAATCTCGAGGTCCAACTACGAACTTCGTGAAGGACGACGAATACAGTGTCAGCTTTAAGTGTACCTTGAATGTGGTAAGCTTATACTGGGACGTCATTCCGCAGTGTTCACTCATTTCCTGCCTCCACTATTGCCTACCAATATCATATGGCGGGTAGGACACTTCTGGTGCAAAGCTCTGTCTGCGTAGTATCCACCTTGGTCCTTGTGCCTCTCTGAAGCGGTTGGAAGAAGCTTGTCTGATGGGGGACCAACGACAACGTCATCTCTTTGTGAGACGCCGGGCTGGAAAGGCTGCAGCGGCGAGTTCGGGAGCTCCACGTGTGCCAGCAGCAAGGATTCCTGTGCATGGCCGCCTGCCGACTTTGCTGCTACTGTACAATGCGCGCGGCCATTCTGCGGATAGAGGGAGGGTTGCGCGTACGTCGCGCCGTAGAAGGCAAGGAAAGAACGGGCGTGGAAAATATAAAAATGCGGCCTCGCAGATTGTGTCGAATGCTCTGGGGGGGAGATTCTGGTGAACCGCTCTGCAGGAAAAAACTTCATCTCCTCTCGATCTTCCTTCTCGGCCCCTCCGCCTCGCCGCCTCAGCATTTGCAGAGCTCGGCCCGTTCCATAAGCACGAGAAGCAGATACACGGTACAGTTCAATCATGACTCTCTTCCCCTTTCTCCACGCCCTTGCTTTGATCGCCCACGTTGCCGCTCTGCCTGCCAACACGAGCCCGGCTAGCCAGCTGCTGGAGAAACGCGACACACTTACCGTGGAGCTCTGGCAGAATCCCTACTGCACGGGCAATCTAAACGTCGTCAGAGTGGGCAACATTGGCGAATGTCACGCCGAGGCCGGGTTCAGCGCCGTTTCCACCTTCAACGTCTCCCAGAGCTTTTTCAACAGGGGCTTGAAAGTCATTGCGAGCCAGAGTGGTAGCTGCTGCAACGGCGGTGGTATTTTGTAGGTATTTTGTCCCTCTCACTCTCAATGGTGTCTTTTCCACAGTCAATTAATGGCAAATACTGTAGCTTCGGGGTCAGCTGCAGTCTGACGAACAATCCGAACTGCTGCAGGGCGGATGGGTCCAACAGTTTCGAAGTCGCCACGTCTTGCTAGTGAGGTTCCTGGAAGTCCCTCGGTAGTCGGGGAAATTAGGAGTTTCGTCGAGGAGTGTTCTGTATGCGAGCCTCAGGGTGCAATGGAGGAAGATGGAACTCACATGCCCCACTTGTCTAGGTACATCCAAGCAGGGGCCCTCAGGAATCGTTCTCAGCAGGCAGTAGAGCATACAGGGCCGGGAGAGCCGAGACATCACATCGTGTAATGAATCCCGCACGAGTCTCACCTCGAGTGTTTGTGCAACCCTCGCACCGACAAGTTTCATGAACACAGGAGCGTGAGGTGGCAGAGTTTGTCTATGGTCCTCCGTAGAGCTCGGTGCTCGCTACGGGCGAGCAAAAGCATGCTGCACGCAGGCAGTCGTCATATCGGTTCGACCGCCAAGGACATGCCCGCCTACTACTCCGTACTACCGAGTAGTTCCCCCCGATCTGCTTCGCTGTCATTTTCTCTTCCCAATGCTTTTTTTCTTATAGACATCAAAGAGAGACATAATATAAGATGGAGAAAATACAAAATGTCTTCGCAGGCCTTAGCGGGCGAGAGAAGACCGGTTTCCTCGACACTTCACGGCCGTCGCTCTACAGTAAGTCTCTAGAAAATATCGCTAAACTGAGCACCTCTGATACGTTGAGACAGTTGCGGCAGCGGCAATCGCATTCAATCCCATTTTCTGGAAGTGAGTCCCTCGACATTCGTACTCGGCGCCTCTCAAATACTAACGTCTGCAGCATCGTGGCTCGACGAGGCAAGAACTACGACGACGAATGAGGCGCTTGTGCTAACGGAGACAGAGCACAAAACCCACTTTTTAACCAAAGCATTTGGGTCGCCTTACTACGGCTGCTATGCGTTGGCAATCACCATCTTCCTTATCGGCGTGATTCGGGACTCGCTCTACAAGTCTGCATTGGAAGAGCAGCCCATCTACCCGCCGCTACACCAACCGGCACTGGGTGTCCTCTTGTTCCTGAGCGGCAATGTCCTGGTGCTGACGAGTATGTGGGCCTTGGGCGTCACCGGCACGTACCTAGGCGACTACTTCGGCATCCTCATGGATGAGAAGGTGGAAGGGTTCCCGTTCAACGTCACAGGCGCACCAATGTACTGGGGCAGCACCCTCTCCTTCTTGGGAACTGCCTTGTACTATGGCCGTGTTGCTGGGCTGCTTCTCACATTGGAGGTGTTTGTGATGTACCTCGGTGCACTGCAATTTGAAGAGTGAGTGTCTCGCCCCTCGGTCCGCACAATCGCTAACTCGACCCAGCCCCTTCACGGCCGAGATTTACGCGCAGAAAGAATCGAGGCCTGTAACTCGATCCATGTCGAAGCAGAAGGATCGCAAGAAGGCGTGATGGGGTATGGGTGGTGGGTGATAGGTGATAGGTGATAGGTGAGAGGCTCTAGGCGATAGGCGATTGCGCAGAGCAGACACAATGGAAGCTCGGGGCGCGTTCGAGCAATCGTGTCGCAATCCTCAGGCACGGCTTCCGGTGGAGAAAAGCGATAAATTTCTGCATTGCGTCATGGCCGGTGATCAGCCGTGAGGGCAGGTAGGCCGAGGCAGGGGTCCGGCAGGCATGTTGTGATTGGCTACTTTTGGCGTGTGCGCCGTCGGATGAGGAGTGAAAGCGAGGTGCAAGCAACCCTGCGGCTCTCCTCGACTCAACTCACCCTTCCATGAGGAGAGCATTAGAATTCACTCGCTACGATGAGGGTGACGAGACTCTGAATCTGCTTCTCACTCCTCGATTTGGTCTTCGCTCGCCATCTTGTTCACCGCGTCGCGCCCTGATCCTGCCTCTGCTCTCATCGTGTCCCGCCAGCCCATCTCTGGACGGCCTCGACGTCCACCATGCCTCCCCAGCATGTCGAGATCGCGGAGACGATCGCGGCCCTCAAGCGAGCTCTGCGACGCGAAAAAGAAGGTAAGATACGGCACGACATCTGTGCGCAAGCAACGCCTCGGGTCCCCTGCTAATCCTGCCTCCACGCCGCAGCTCCAACCGACCAGGCCATTTCCGCTGCGACAAACAGAGGCCACAAACTAGCCCGTGGGGCCGTCTACGTCCATGCAGGCGCTCTGCCTTACGCGCATGGTCCGGAAGGTCATAAACAAGTATGTCGTCTCATCAGCAAATGGCGGGGGTTGTGAGCCTCAGGGCTAACCGCGAAGATAGAAAATCGAACATGCTGGCTACACGCGCTACATCCTCCAACGCAACCCGATACGAATCAACGAAGAGGGCGATGAATTAGAAGACGATGAAAGTGACGCAGAGGCCGATGCTGATGCCGAGGAGGAGAACCCTTATGCTGGCGTCCGCCTCGAAGGTACTGCACTTGTCCTCTCCGGCTGAGGGCCAATCGTTAATTCGTGCTCCCAGAACTTTTGTGCCCTCTGAAGCATCCCTCCGAGCTCGCGACCCACCCTACTTTGTCCCTACCCTTTCTCGATCCTGCCCTTCCGGATATGGTCAAATCAACTGAAGACAAGCTGCGTCAGGAAAGGGTAAATTTATGGCGAGCCAAAAACCTGAGCAGACAGTTTATGGGTGACGAATCCTGGATACCTCTGGAGAGCACCGAAGGTGCCGACGACTGGGACTTGTTCGAGCCCAAACCCAGGACTCCTGCACAGCAAGCAGGCAAGAAGCGAAAGCGGGACCATGAGAATGAGATCTCAAGAAACGGCATCAATGGTCATGACTACGCGGAGCCCACCCAAACGGAGGCCACGGCGCGTCCTGTGGATGCGGATTCAGACACACGCGCTACAGAAAATGACAGCCAGCCCGTTAAAAAGGGCAGTGAGGCAGAGACACATCAGCCGGCTCAAGAGGAGCATGCGCCCGTGGACGACGGACCCACCACGAATGGCATTCACAAAGATGGTGAGACGATCATTCCGGAAAGCAAGGCAAAAATCCCGCCTAGCGACACGGACGATCCTGGAGACACACGCGACGCACCTGTCGCCATAGAGGCCGACGGCACTGGACAAGAGCAAGAGGGCGAATCGGCATCCGAGGACGAGACTCAACCGCAACCGACACGACGGATAACCAGAGCCCTTGCTGCCGAGAACAACAATTCTAATACAGCAACCCCTCCTCTATCACCACACTCGACCACCTCTGTCGATTCCTACCTCTTACAACCCGATCCGTTATTCCTCCTACCCCCGATACTGGCAGCGAACCATCGCGCCCCCCGCAACCTCCTCCGCCTAGGCATCCCTGTCGACGAGTTGATGGAGACCCGCCGTCTGCTGATGATGTACATTCAAAAGCAGGAAGAAAGTGTGCGTGGGTACGAAGCCGTGCTGGCGAAACTGACCAAAGCGAAGAGAATGCGCGACAAAGTGTGGCAGTGGGCCAAATCCGAGGGCCATGTAGGCGAGCTGTCGGATGGAGAGGATTGGATCGATGCCGAGGCGTGGGGATTGCAGCCCGAGGACTTGAAGAAGGGCACGGACGAGGAGAATAATGAGGTGCAGGAGGATACGGGGAGGAAAGGCAAGAGGAGACGGCGAGATTAGAAGTCAAACCAGAACCTGGCCCAAGCTTCACCGGCCAAAAGGCCTGCGCTGGCGAAGACTCCTACCAAGACGCCAGGGAAAATGTCCTGGTTGTCGCTGGGCACATCTACGAGGCCTAGGTTGAAATCTCTCCAGACAATCCCATGAAATATGGAGACATTGTCATTCTCTCTGAGCTGCATGCATGCCTGCATTCATCATCTGGAGGCCTTTGCCCGCTTCATTTCGGGCTCGTAGCTACGTTCGATCTCTGCTTGCGCTGGTATGGACGTCTTACCCTGTTCCACGCGGAACTCAACGCCAGGATGGCCCCCCCCCCCTC